GTGTGTGTGTGTGTGTGTGTGTGTGTGTGTTTATGCGTGTGTGTCTATTTGTGTGTGTGTGATGACTTCGGAGATATACGACAATCAATTTCTCCCCATTTGGGAATCAAACTCTCGTCTTCAGAGTACAACAAAAAAGAGTCTAACTATACCACCACCGAATAAACCAGTATTCTAACTTTTGGAAGCAGAGAGAACAATTTATTCAAAATTGCATGCATCACAATGAAATCATCGTTGAATACCAGTGTTATCTCTGTCCAGCTGCCAGCTATGTGAGGTCAACAACCCGAGCTGTATCTGCTCTTGACATTTAGTTATCCTTATGTGGGCTACTCTAATGCCAGTTGGCTCAGCTCAAGCGGGAATTGGATCTTTTAACAACGTTTATTTTATTATGTTCATGGTTAGCTTTGTTTGTGAGGTTACTTTATACTAACCTTGACCATCAATTTTTTATTTATAGAGGCACCAGCAATCCATGCCCAGGTGCTGTTTTAGCCATTTATCTACAACAACGCGACCGGGCTTATATTACGTGGGTAAACTGACTTTGACTTCAAAATCAGACATTTTTTTTTAGTTCGTGCGTAAAGTTATGGTACACAGTGAATTTTTCACACGTTGGTTGGAATGGGGTGGAGGGAGCTCAACATACGGAAAACAAAATACTAGTCGAACCTGAAATGAATTATCTTACCTTTGAAAACAGTTGGTTGTGGCATTGACGTTGATTTATTTTTTGAGATGGGAGTGGCAGGTCATTCAAGCAAAGCGCCATGATATGTTTGAGTTATCTCCAGATTTGAATAATTAGTCGCAGTGGAGTCAGACGCTTATCAATTTTTGGGCATGTCGAGCTATTGGCATCATCTTAAAGATTGTTCATTTGTTTTGCTTTCGATTTTAACAAATATCCTGTTATCTTGGATACTAGTAAAGATATTGGCAATTAAGGGTGGCGGGGGTCACCCGATTCCAGGTGTAAAATTTGCAAGAAAATAGCCGCCAAAGTTTTTACTTTAGTTATAATTTACCTACCTTGAGAGTTCATGGAAACTGAAAATTTTCAATTTTTTGTGCCTTTTATCAATATTTTTTAAAATAAAGTCCGTACAAAAATGTGCTCTTTACAGACATAGAGGGTGTTGAGCCAAAAAAAAAATTCGATAGAAATTCCCTCTAAAAGTTTTTAAATTCCAGTTTCTTCATTTTCTTTATTTTGACGAGCACCTGATTTCACCACGCTGTCTCTCAGTCAAGGAAAATCATATTTATGAGCCCGATCCTGGGTGTATGTCGTGCATGGTATATAATGAGAGGAAGGGGGTACTTTTGAACCCCATTCTTTGGCAAAATCGCCCCCATTAGAAGATGAGATAAGATAATAGATATTATTATCAATCTTTATCTTCCAGACAATGGCACATTGGTTTGAGGTTTCAACACAAACACATAACCACACACACACGCGCGCACACACACAAACACACATACACACATACA